CTCGCTGACTTGGTTGATGCATGTCGTATCCCAATTGCGTGGATTGATGTTCATGATATAAATCACTGGATTGTCTGTTCCAGACTTGATTATTTACAGACCGCCGTCATATAGCTGGAATATTGCTGAGTGTGGTGTTAAACAACAAACCAACAAACCAACCAACCAACCAAATCATTGTAGGAGTACATAGGGGTTTCAATATAGACAGCAATATTACAGCTATTTCACATCAGTCTTGAAATGATTTATTCTTTACATAATTAACCCAGTAGGACACTATCTGCATTGACGACACTATCAGCCAGGCAATATTACTATGAGCAACTGATGCCCAATTTAGATGAGTATTCCATCCGGTGAATATGATCCTCTACTGTTGTAGATCCAAGCTCAGGCTGAGGAGATCAACTTGTACAAGCGGAGAGAGCAGGAGCTTCTCAACCAACTGCAACTGACAGAACAGATCAATATGCAGGATATGTTGACCTCACTGCAGCAGCAGCACAAGGACCTGCTCAGTGCCCAGCTGGCATCTCTCAGACAGGCCTTCATCACACGACTACCACAGGAGCTGGTCGTCAGCTCCAACATAGTCCATATTTCACCCGATTCTTACGAAATCCACATCAATGACGAGCCGGAGAAGGTGGAAGAGACTCATGTTGTGGGTGACGGACATCATATCGTTCACATCAAACAGGAATGTGCTCCCAAGGACCAGAGTGTGAGTGAGAATGGTGTTGGTGCAGCAGGTCCCAACATTCAAACTACTACAGAACTTGTGTCCCCCTGTCTTGTCATGTGTGTAGAGGATGAGTCCGGTCAGCAGAACACTGACAGTACCACTGATCAGAACTCCCTTGTCATTGACCATACTCAGATGGACCAGGACGCAGCCAACTCAGCCGCTGCCTTAATACAGAATGGACAAACTGAAGTGGCCGGTTCTCAGATAGAGATAACAGAGGTATTAGAAGAATCAGAACCTGCAAAGAAAAGGCTTCGATCCACGTGATGCATGTAGTCCATTCTTAAATCTACCTCTGGGCAAATGTGTCTGAAGTGTTTGATAACTTAAGTGCATTTCTTTCGGCGTCCTTTTTTAACCTATGTTGAACAAGATTATGTCATGGACTTGGTACAGTTACTATGCTAGTCAAATAATTTAGATATATTTTCCAGAGGCCCATTTGTTCCCTTGCTAGAGTTAGATATACTTTGGAATGATCAATGATGTGAATCAAGTAGCTGGTTTACTGTGACATGGATTGTTCATGCTTGTGCCCTCATTCAAATGTCAGTAAATTTTGTTACTGAAAGTAAGTTGTGTTTTTGTTCTTGACCACTGATGCCAGTGCTTTTTTCAGACTTCAAGATGCTGTTGTGGTCATTAGGAATCATATTCTCAGTTCAAAAGGTTTGTTGTAGATGCTTGACCTGTCATCTATTTATGGACAGTTGTCTCTAAGTGAAGAAAGATACGGGTTAGAAGAGGTCTTCAGCAACCCATGTTTGTCAGGTGGTCAGGCTCGTTGACTTGGTTGATGCATTTCATCTTATCCTCATGCTCATGATGTCAATCACTGGATTATCTGGTCCAGGCTCAGTTATTTACAGACCGCTGTCATATAGCTGGAATATTGCTGAGTGCAGCGTTAAACAACAAACAAATAACCTAAGCGAGGAGGAGGTTTTGTAATGAGTAAACCCAGGCAATGTAGGACTTCTCATTGTTCCACCTCAACTCATGTCACATTTTCATTATGTGGAACTTGTGTCCAACTGCTCCTTTCTATGTCCAAGTTATGTTTGCAAATTGCATGTTGTAATAGTACATAACAAACGTAAGTGTTTGTAAAGATCAATGTCTTTTTCGTGAACTTCAAGGAGAATAGACCAACTCCATCGTGAGGTGGATAGAACATCTGCCTGGAGCATGGAAGGTCTGTGGTTGAATCCTCTGGCTGCGTCACCTTGCCCAGCGTTTGGTAATAAGGAAATAAAACAACAACTTGTCTCGAAGTCTGTATATGATGTTTCAGTTGGGTATCCATGTTAAACTGCATCATAGTATCTCTGTTGGCCGTCACTGTAAAAAACTGGCATTAGTCCGGACTAGTTCATGTTGCTTGAATGCAACATTAAGCCCTATTTCAGCTCACCTTGAAGGGAATACAGGCTCTTCAAATGGAAAAGCCTGTAAAATATAACACCAGCACCGCACAGTTATCAAAACATCAAATATTGTTTGATAAACATATTTTGACCAAAGTCAGTTTTAAACAAATGTTGATTCTACAACTCAAATTTCCAAAATGTTCAGTTGAGTTTCTAAAAAGTTAAATTCGAAAGTCATATTACAAAATCAGTGCCTGAGCATTCAGAGTAGAATTTAGCTTAATTCAGACATGTGCTTTTCGTAAACGCCTTGATTTGTGGCAAAAAATGATAGTCCTTCCAATTGTCCACTGGTGGACATGTGTATCACTGTAAATAATTTGTACTGCTGCTTCCTCAAATTCACAAGCAGTTTTCTGAATCAAACTTGATAGAATGGGTTTGGTTTAACACCATTGTTTAGAGTGTGTCGATTATATTACTGCACGTCAACTTAATGTGAAAAACAAACATGAAATAAGTCCAATAATTGTGGCTATGCTACAATGTATTGCTTTACTAAGAATGCCATGGAACTGTTTTGGAAAATAATACCAAGACATTTGTACTGTTTAGTTATTTTTAAGGTATTACCCCCAGGTGATGAAAAGGTATCTCTTGTGATAACTGAACCGTTAATTTCCAGTTTTTGCAATAAGTTTTGCAAAGTGTCAAGATTTGTGTTGCACTGTCAGTATACAATAGTATTACAAGACTAAAAAAATTTTAAATTTTTTTTGTGAGTCAGCTTATGTGGGCAAATTCATGGGAAATCGTGACAAGGTTACAGGTGGTTGTCAGGAGTAGATTGTGCAATGAACAGACACTCATAGTGCAACGAATAAAAATAAATAAAGGGAAAAAACCCTTTTCCATATTCATAGTGAGTGAGTGAGTGAGTGTGGTTTTACGCCGCTTTTAGCAATATTCCAGCAAAATCACGAAAGGGGACACCAGAAATGGGCTTCACACATCGTACACATGTGGGAAATTGAACCCGGATCTTCCCCGTGACGAGTGAATTCTTTAACCAGGCTAGCCTACCACCCTTCATATTCATAAGAAATCTCTGCATGAGTCGATTGTGTCACTATGGATTCTTACACAAGTTTAGTAAAATCAGCGCGTCTAAGGCGCCGCGATTTGCTGTGCAGAGTTGCGTCCCTTGGGCACACCTGAAACCAATGATTGTGGGTTCGAATCCTGGTTTCGACCCGATTATGTTTCTTGGTTTGTCAGCACCATACCCGTGCTCGTTGGTTTCACCGAATTGGTAAACGACTGAAACCTACATCACTTCGGGCTTTCTTCCCACATTCAGCTGACACAGTCTTGATTGACGAGTTAAGGAAGAAATTTACAGTTTATAACGAAACATTTTCAAGAGAATAACAAACGGCATGAAGCGATATTAACTCCATAAATGACTATCTGTCATTATTTTGCCTAGTCAATGTGTCAACTAACGTAAAAGGGAAGTCAACAGTTTGTTCGGGCCACTTACGATAAAGGGAGACAATTTGAGGGGAGGTAATTCTTGTATGACAATAAGTCCGTCAAAGTGTTCACTTTTCTCAACTTCGGAAAACTAGGGAATTACATCCGACATCATTTTTGTCACTGATGCGTCAAATTTGGAAATGTCCTCCACACCTCTACCATAAACTCTTTGAAAGGTTTACTGAGGCCTTGAATGTTGAACCTTGATCAAACAACCTTTGAGTCGTATGACGCTCTTTGAGATCTTGGTAGAAAAATCATGCTCGACTGAACCTCAAAAGTTGTGAGGGGGCACGGGTGGCCCAGTCGTCTAAGGCGCCGCGATTCGCTGTGCAGAGTTGCGTCCCTTGGGCACGCCAGAAACCTATGATTGTGGGTTCGAATCCCGGTTCGCCCCGATTATGTTTCTAGGTTTGTCAGCACCATACCCGTGCTCGTGGGTTTCACCGAAGTGGTAAACGTCTAAGACCTGCATCACTTCGGGCTTTCCTCCCACATTAAGCTGACACGCCGCGATATAACTGGAATACTGTTAAAAGCGGCGTTAAACCCAACTCACTCACTCACTCACTCAAAAGTTGTAAAATGTTAACACCGCCACACTCAGCAATATGACGTCAGTCTGTCAATAATCGAGCATCCACCAGACAATCTAGAAATTCTCATCATGAGCATCGATCTACGCAATTGGGATACGGTTACAAGCATCTATCAAGTCATCGAGCCGGACCATCCGACCTAGACCAGGTTGTGTAACGAACAGACACAGACATTAATTAATAACTAGTCTTCATTGTTGAGTAGATCGTCATGAGTAGAAAGTAATGAGCAGACGCAATCAGTGTATAATTAGTTATCATTATTCTACAGAGGGTCGTCAGGAGTAGGTAATTAGCTGTGCTGAGTGCCGACACAATCAGTGTATAACAAGTGTGGGTTTTCCAGAGGATGATGTCAGGATATCAGGGCAATGTGCAGTGTGTAATGAGTCGAGGCGGTCGAAAAATATCGAGCCCAGCCGTCTTAGGCACCACAATTCTCTGAGCAGAACTGTGTACATTGGACACGCAAGAAACATTTGATTGTGGATTCGAATCCCGGATCTCCCCGATTATTGTTCTAGGTTTGTCAGCACCATACCTCGTGGGTTTCACCAAAGAGGTAAATATCTGAGACATGCATCACTTTCCTCCCACACTAAGCTGACACGCCGTGATATAACTGAGATACTGTTAAATACAACGTTAAACCCAGCTGACTCACTCACACAAAAAGTTTGCATGTGTGAATGAATTGTAAAATTGTTTCACCACTCGCCACTCTAGACCATGTTTCATCTTGAAAGCTTTTATTCTTAACCTATATTTTACACGTGTATATACACATCTACTCCGAAACGTCCAAGGACGTCACACACCGGCAATGTCCGTCATCAGTGTTCCGTCTTCCAGGCCACACAACTTGAACTTTTTATGCTTCACCAACAGTTCTTGAAGACAAAATTTCTTCTTGCACTTCGGGCAGTCATAGTTCCGTGCCTTGTGACGCCGGACGGTTTTCCTTGACAGATTATCGCGACCACACAGAGAACACGTGTATATCATCTGTTGTGACTTTGGAAGGGGTTTGTGGAGAGACAACCCAGGCTTTGAGGCAGTTGCAGATGTGCCTTGACAAGCACCATTTACAGGGTCGATTACCATTTCCCCTTGGCGTGACACGGACTCTTCACTATCAAAGGCTTCAACCAAGGCCCTGAAATCAGAAAGGGTGCTTCCGGTTGCTGAATCTGTAAATGTGGTTGTGGGTGTCGAACACTCTTCCTCAACTTCAGTCGAGACACGGGAACTTTGTAGTTGATCAGACTGATGAATGGCATTCATATGCACAGCGTCACACCTTTTAGGGCAACCCTGTAAGGAGGGAAGGAGTTGGGTATCCTTGGCTGATGAGTGGTTGGAGGTAACTGTTCCTTGCTCCTCACGCAAAGGATACCTCAACGTTGCTTTTCTGGTTTGGGGAAGTGATGATGGGTTGGTTGATACTGTAGTGTGGTGAAGTGACGGTGAGTTGGTTCTCTCTGACGAATTATATCCTGAGTGATGTGTCAGGGAAGGAAACCCCGATCTTCTCCGTGAAGGAAACTCCGTATCCAATATGTACATCCGCCTGTTCAGAACACGTCTGACGTATTCAGCACTGTAACACGGGGGACTCGTTTCTTGGTTTTCTGAATACGGCATATGCCCTGCACCGACTTCTTCGCTTGATGGCCCACTGTCCTGTACTGCTTTGTAAGTCGCATTACCCGTCTCATCACCTTCCCCCAAACTTGATGCTCCACAAACAACAGCAGGGAAAGACGTTCCTCCAACTAATTCAGAACTTTCACTGTGACCATACAGGCCATTTTCAACTCGTTTCCCACAGCCATTGTCATTGTCCCCATCAATAAGACTGTCCTGCCGTTGGTGTTCTATGACCGTCCCTCCAGAAACACTCATGACGGTGTGATTGACCTTGGCCTTCAGTGTGTTCAGGGTGTCCGCGCTACAAGGCGTCACAGGAAGGTGCCACGTTAGAGTAGACCGTCCATTTGCCGTACCACCAGCCACGTCACATGCTCCAGCCCTGGGATCAAACCAACGACTCTTTATATACTCTAAATACATCTTCTCCGAGTGTCCAGTCACTTCTGCCGCCATGTCGTCGACCAGCGACTTCAGAGCACTACCATGGGACATTTTCTCGCAACATCGAGACAGAGAGTGTAGAGGATGCTCACAGTCAGAGTGGGGTTTACGTGCTCCTTTCTCAGGAACATACCAACTCCCATTACTCCGTGTTGGGTAATACGCAACATTGTCACAAGAAACGGTTGCCAGATATTCATATGTCGACGTATCCATACATGTTATGTCATGGTCCACCATTAACTTCTGTTTCTTACATGGCTCTCTACCAGACCCATCACCTGGTTGAGTCTCTGCCATAGATGTGTATAAGCTTACTTCAGCTGGATGTGAAACGTGGCCATAGTGTTTGCCATCAGTAGAACCCCTGCGTGTTGCCGAGGCCAGATCACCGTTGTCTGTTATTGAAGGTACGATGTCCCCGCAACCATGACTAATTCGTGATGTCCTTACTTCCTGTCCTGCGTGGTAGCCTATACCGGAACTTCCACCATTTAAAGTGTCTGAACATGATGGTGAAGTGGATATGGTCATATTTCTAGGTCTTTTTCTTCCGCCATTAGACTTATGTTTAGTGTCCTGACTGATTCCAAGACGCATGTCAGCGGTGGCATTCGTGGATAGCTGATGAGCCCTAGCTGTTGGTGTGACGACCTCATCGTGGAAGTTGCATGTAATGACGTAATCGTCACCTCCCTCTGCGTCACGTGCAGCTGGCAGCTGGGTGTGTGTATCTGCAGCTCCTTCAGTATCGGTAGCTTCAACGATAACGACGTCGGCTGGGCTCACGTCGCTTCGTCCCCGCTGCCTCCCGGTGGAGACATGTGGTGATCTGTCACTGTCTGCCAGATAACAAGACAGGAGAACATCTATGTCGGTTTCTATTGGCATATCTCTGAGCTGGGTGTTCCGCTCTGGGCGAGCTTAGGGGATTCAGCTCTCCGTTGCAGAAACTGGCATCAACCTGGAAATATTGAAATATTGAATAACATCATGTTAAGTGAGTGAGTGAGTTGGTTTTAACGCTACATATTTTTATTTTTATTTAAAACTATGAGTAATGTTGGTGGCAGACAATTTCTTTTTTTCCCCAACAGTCTGAAGCATAACCTCTTTCCGAGAGTTTTCCGGGACAATATCATAGCTGAAGAAATGTTGACGTCATTTCGATGATAAACACAAAGAGAATCTCACCCGAGTGTCTTTTGCTATCAAATATATCAACACGAGTTGATAAAAGTGGAAAAACTCCGAGGCTTGCCGAGGATTTTTTTCCACTTTTTATCAACGAGTGTTGATATATTTGATATCAAAAGACACGAGGGAGAGATTTTATTTATAATCCAACATCTTTCTTCCTACTTTTTCAGTTTGTAAAAAGTAATAAGCAGTGTCTTAAGTGTAAAAAGTACTGCTAAACAGCTTCAGTAGCAGAGCCATTAGTGATGCCATTTGATTGTGACGTCATGGTAACCAATGACGTCACAATGGTCTGCAAAGCATTGTGATGCAATTTCACTGCAGCGATATCTACAGTATATCGCTTGATCTCACCACAGCAATATCTCCTGTGGGAGCCAGTTTTGGATGATAAAATGTGTTTATCTCCTTTCTAACATGACTAAATAAAATGCGAACTATTTGTTTGCAAATACTTTGAGTAAAGCGGCATGGGTTGAGCCCAGTGTTTTGTGTGGGTTGTCGATCAGAATCACCGACAACAGCCTTTAAACAAAATATGGCGTCTTATATGTTCAAGCAGTTTTTGTTGACACCGTTATACTGCACTCGAACACATGACGGGCACTGAAAGCATGTAGCACGGCAACTTGGTAAGCTAAGATAAGGTCAATCTCATTAAAATCAGATCTCAGTTTTCGCTAAATTTGTTTAGCGATAGCGAGAACTAAGATCTGATTTTAATGAGATTGAGATAAGGTGGGCATCCCCGAAGAAAACTAAACAAGCCTTGCAAAGGTTTCGTTCTACACCGCCGTCATATCGCTCATTGTGACGCAAAAGATATGATAAACTAACATTTAGTCTCTGAAATCTTATATTACACAATATCCTTCTTGACTCTAAATATAAAATAAAAATCCCCTATGCTGATTGTGGAATAGAGCTAGCTTGAGCTGGCGAGACTTACTTTTGTATGCATTTCTAGATTATTATTTTTCATAAAATAAATATATTCCACGGTCATGGTGCAGGACTAAAGATATGACGTCACAGTCGTATATAGAAAAGCGCCAAATAGCAAGCTCTCGCTGGTCCTCAAAACTTGAAATACATTCTTTGTAGATTTCTATCCTGTTTTCTGCACGAAATGTATTGCCACTCATCCTTTGAATATTGCGAGTGAGTGAGTTGGGTTTAACGCCGCTTTTAACAGTATTCAAGTTATACCACGGCGTGTCAGCTTAATGTGGGAGGAAAGCCCGAAGTGATGCAGGTCTCAGACGTTAACCACTTTGGTGAAACCCACGAGCACGGGTATGGTGCTGACAAACCAAGAAACATAATCGGGGCGAACCGGGATTCGAACCCATAATCATAGATTTCTGGCGTGCCCAAGGGACGCAACTCTGCACAGTCAATCGCGGCGGCGTAGGCGACTGGGCTACCCGTGTCCCCCTTGAGTACTGTAATAACCGCAGTTTTTCATTTTGTGACCTATGTCGTAACTGCTTTCGGGCGTCAAGTGGGACCCTACTACCGTTACCTAAACGCATTGTCGTTCCTTGTCGTCGTGGTCAGTAAGCCATGACTTTGCAGCTCACCTTGTCAGCCTCGGCTTATCTCAGTCAAGGAGTGATCGGTCTATCGACGCTTACTCCGAGGTGAGGTGAAATTGGGTTTAACGTCGCGTCCAAGATTATTGCACTTATATAGCGACGTGCATGCACGTGTATGTGTGTGTGTGGCTGCTTGTACTAGTCCGGACTGATGCCGATTTATAGTGCTAGCTCACTGAGATACCATGCCGCAGTTTAACATGAATACCCCACTCAGACACAGTATACTGACTCCGAGCCGACCAGTCCTTGTTTTAGCCCCTTAATGCCGAGCGCCAGACAGGGTAACAACAAGTACAATCTTTTAACGTCTTTTTGTATGACGCGGCCCGGGATCGAACCCTGGACCTTCCGCTCTCCGGGCGGACGCTCTACCACAAGACCACGGAGGCGGTCCGCTTACTCCGAAATGTCTCCATCAGCATTTATACTCGCACAATAAAGAAACGCCACACCAGCTTTATACTCACATCAGTTTTACTTACTCTCAGTCCATCAATCAATACACAACAGTATCAGACCGGCCATGCTCGTCACTAAGTGGGGAGAACGATAGGGGTACGACTCTCCTAATGTTGACTGATTTTATTTTAAAGTGTTCGGGCCTGGTCTGTTTTTTGTCACATGTCCTCATAGATCATTTTAATTAGTTAAGAACAATATCAGACCATGAACTCGCGTTTGTGTCTCGATCAGCAAACTACCGGAACCCACTAACCGATTAAAGATGTCTATTGATTAATTGGCGACGACACCACCGAAGCTATCCCGAAATATCCTGTCACTGTCATCGCCCTATTGATTTCCTGCTTGTTTGCGCCAACACTTCGGCTTTCTGTCTCCACCGTTTTGAAAGCTATAATCATCCCATTTAAAGGTTGATTTTGTTATAATTTTCTAAGGTTTGGGGGACCTTATAACACCTATAATTGTACCTATAATTATTTAAATATGCCTACCGACAATGACTGTAGAAGAACTACTACAGTAAAGTACGGTTATAACGAACTCAAAGGGACTACTAATTTTAGTTCGTTATATCCGTAGTTCGTTATAAGCATATATACAGCATAACTAGTCGGGACCAAAAAAGTAGTTCGTTATATCCGTCAGTTCGTTATAAGCATGTTCGTTATAACCGTAGTTTACTGTATTCTAAAAATATTAGCTTCCGAGGTGATGTGGCTGTCAAATCGGCTGTTTTAATCAGATTATTGTGATTTGATACCTCTGATTGACCAATCAAAATCGAGTATTTTCAAAATTCGTGGTAGAATCGACAATTGTGGTTTTCTAGGACGGCGGTCTTGGGTAATAAAGAAATTATTACACTCGCATATGTGTCATACTGATTTTAGGAAGCTCGTGTAAGACCGCATGTGTTACACACACTCTCGCTCATTTTTCGTAAAATCAGTATGACACAAATGCTCGAATAATAATAATCCCTATATATTGCTCGTGATATTGCCAAAAGCGGCCTAAAACCCAATCTCATTAAAATAAGATCTAAGTTCTCGCTGCCGCTAAACAAAGAACTAAGACCTGATTTTAATGAGATTGCCTAAAACCATACTAGCTCACGCACATTTGTGAAAAGATTAAAACATAAAATTAACACAAAGGAAGCATTTAGTCCCATGGTTATAGTTTGTGATAGATATACATCAACATCGGATACTAGATGACATGAGAGCCTACACGAGAGCTCATCCTCGATTATCAAGTGTAGTACATCTCCACTCTGTCATAATACATCAAAGCGTCGTTTCAGAAATGACGTCAGCATCTCAATCTATCCTATCACAAGCTAATGACCGAATTTCTCTCGTTACTGAGTCCAAGCTGATTGGACGGCCAGTGTCATGTAATTTGAACCTGGCTCCCAATGAAGTCGACCCGTGAAGATTTGAGCTAGAATAGATCTTCAGAAACCCATGCTTGCCGTAAGAGGCGACGATGCTTTTCCTGAAGAGGCGACTAACGGGATCGGGTGGTCAGGCTCGCTGACTTGGTTGATGCAAGTCATCGTATCCCAATTGCGTAAATCGGTGCTCACGATATCAATCACTGGATTGCCTGTATGCATAAGGTACATTAAATGTACATATACATTTCATGTCTGTAATCATATTCACCCCCAAATTTACCTAAACTAAGCGGCAAAAGAAAGTATAGGCTGGCAATTTGTATTTTTTTTCTTAAAAGCAGCGATAACTAGTGGAAAGTGGGTATTGGGAATATGACTGCCCAGGAACAGGTACCAGAAAACACCTCACCCGAACGCGCCACCTTTGACGGCGCTCGTGCGGTGACAAAAAAATGGTGAAACCGGTTTCCCGCCTATGGCATGAACTGCACGTGCATGCTAGCTGTATAAATGCGTTCGTCTGCAGGGTATAACCACACGTGATGAAAGCACACAAAACAAATGCCACGATTGTCATAGGAGCAGAGAGAGAGAGCAATCGGTATGGCCGATATGGGGGCAACACAGGTCCAAATTGCCAGAAGGTTTGGTTGTACACCATTGAAAGTAGCCAGGCTGATTCAACGGTACAGGCAGACAGGGAGGACACAGGACAGGCATGGAACCGGACGACCCTGGGTGGCAACACAACTGGAAGACGGTCAGATACGGCTAATTCACCTGCGAAACAGATTCGTAACGGCGACGGCGACGGCAGCAACAGCGTTGGGACATCCCCATTAGCCAACGTACAGTACTACGACGAGTTCCTGCTGCTGGAATCCGAGCGTATCGTCCTTTCCGAGGAATGGTACTGACTGTTCAATATCCATGCCTGAGACTGCGATGGGCGAGGCTGGTTTGACGCTGGCAAGTGAGAAATTGGCGTCGAGTGCTGTTTACTGATGAAATCGGTTAAACTTGTTTCAAAATGACGGCAGAGAACGAGTTTATCGACGCAGAGGGGAACGTTTGGCTCCGGCGTGTATTCGAGAGGTCCATCCATTCGGCGGGGGAGGTGTCATGGTGTGGGGCGGTATTTGTGGAGATCAGAAGACTGATTTGGTGATTATACAGGGAAACCTGAACGCTGTGCAGTACAGAGACCAAGTGTTGCAGCCAGTTGTGCTTCCGTTCTTATAAAACCAACAGCAGGGGACATTGTTTCAATACGACAATGCCAGGCCCCATACTGCAAGACTGCCTCGGAACTTTCTAAACCATCAGAACGTTGACGTTTTGCCCTGGCCTGCCCACTCACCCGATATGAATCCTCTTGAACATCCGTGGGACCATCTTGACAGACAGATTAGAGCACGCCATCAGCCTCCCGTCAACCGAGAAGAATTGCAGCAGGCCCTGAGAGACGAGTGGCAACGGATTCCAGTCCACGTCATCAGAAGACTGACGTCATCGATGAGGCGGCGTATCACAGCATGCATTGAGGCAGCTGGAGGTCATACACGCTATTGAAGGCAACTGTGTCGACAATGAACTTGTAGTGTGTCTGACAATTTTTTGGTGACATTTCAGACAACTTTTGAAAATGAAATTTCTTACCCCACCATTGTTTACCTTAGCTTACATTACCTGTGATTGCACAATTTCATTCGAACTGTGGTTGATCAATCATTTGATACTCCTCCCTAGATTATATACTCTTCAAAAAAAGAAACTTGACACTGACTTTCAAAATGTAATATAATGCGATTGTTTCAAAATGGGACACAGAAACCATAATTGAAACACTGTTTGAAGATCAAAGTATACAATGTTCAAAACATTAATCGTGTCGCCTAGACACACGTACACGATACAGTTAACAGAAAATGTCAGTATCGGTTGTGCCCACCACGTGCATCAATCACCGCTTGACACCGACGACCCATTGAAGCAATCAAGTTGTCAATAACACGCTGTTTGATGTGGCCAATGTAATGTCTGGATGTTGTTGTGCTGTAAGAAGTCCTGACAAACACGTGCAATATGCGATCGAGCGTTGTCCTGCTGGAACTGTCCGCCATGAACGTTGACGTGAGGAAGAACGTAAGACTGTAGGATCAAGTCTCTGTAACGCACACCTGTCAATGCACCTGCCACATGCACGAGAGGCGTCCTACCACCGTGATAGGTGCGTAACGTTCACCCCGACGTCTGCAGACACGTGCGCGCCCATCAGCACGTGTGAGTAGGAAACGGGACTCGTCAGTAAACAGTACATTTCTTCACCTTGCACGTGCCCATCTAACCCTCTCTTGGCACCAAAGCAGACGGTCCGCCAGATGTCGTGGGGTCAATACATGGAGTCGAACAGGTCTTCGTGCAAAAAGTCCAGCCTCCCTCAGTCTGTTGCGTACCGTTTGATCTGATATTCTGCGTACCCCAGGGATCTGTGTGGTTGTAGACGTGGCTGTGGTAGTGCGGTCTCGGAGGTGTCGCAGCCGGATATATCGATCTTGTGTTTGGGTTGTCACCCTTGGTCTTCCTGACCTTGGTCTGTCGTCAACTCTGTTGGTGTTGTTGTATCGGGTCCACAGTGCGGAGATTGTCTGTCTGGATACGCCAAAGTGCCTGGCCACTTCTTGCTGAGTTGCTCCAGCTTGTAATCTCCCAATGACGTTGTTCCGTTGAGCTGCATTCAGTCTTGGCATACTGTCACCTCCTCTACTGCCGTTATAAGGACTGTATGAACAGCCGTTGATGTGGATTTCTATACCCATTCAGCAAGGGGCATGCATGCCTAAATGCAGGATCCTGTGCTTCACGTTTTTTACAGGCGGTTCCGTTTGGATGAAGCTGTAAAATTGATTCCCAAACGCTACGTTTATGTGTTTTGCATGTGTTTTCGCGAATTATAGACACATCATCTTTCTGTTTGACTTATTTGGTTCTCATTTAATGTAATTATTTTAGATATTTGGCAAAAATTGGTTTTACATCTATGTCAAGTTTCTTTTTTTGAAGAGTATATTATAATTACTAACAAAACCTCTTCTTTCTTTTTTTTTATCGATCATGGAACTCGACCTATACTATCTTTTGCCGCCCAGTTTTGTTTGTACCCTGCCCTAAGACGGTGTTCTGTAAAATAACAATTCTGGATTCTTGATTTTTATGGCACCACTCCCCCTCCATCAAACTCCCCTGTAAGCCCCGATGGAGGCACGACAGCTGTGTCCCCTGCAACCCAACCCTGGGAGAGTAACTTGACACGACGGAGCACTACCTCTCGACAAGCACAGGAACGCGCGCCTGGGACACTATGGAAGCGAGGTGCTCGTTTCACGGATCGAGAGTTCTGGCTCAGAAAGAAATATTTGAGAAAAATCGCTACAAGCATTAATTCAAAATCAAACGCTCAACATGACCAGGAAGTTATTTAATTTTTATGTATGTTTACCTTGAAATCAGACATTTTTCTCTTCAAAACAAGAAACAAAACATAAATAATTGTTTCTTAAAAATGATTCCACTCGCTTCTTAAAACATGGTTCATAAAACATTTTTGGATGTTTACAATTTGAAGTGAACGCAAAGGAAACATAAACGAAATGCTGTTTATCAACAGGTAGTCATTCAAGCGAGACTGTGATCCTGCGTTTACTGATCACTAAGTGTTTACATGAGTAGAACCACATTACCTTTGTTTACCACAGAGCCTTTGTTTACCACAGAAATACCAAGCCTCCTTCACCAACTGGCATCGGCTGACATGTTTAAAGTTACCTGTGCTCGCTTGTCTGTACAGTGAGACGTCCGACGGCAGCTCCAAGATTCCTCCGTCCTGTAACGGCTGCCACTGCCACGGAGATGCGGGTCCGGACAGGCCGATGAGGAAAGAGAGACGGGGGAGATGAGAGGGGGGAGGGGGAAGTTCTCACCGTGTCATGTTACGGGTTTCCGCTTCTGGACAGGGGAGGAGATGGGAAGATAATGAAGGGAGCTCTGCAGGACAGTTTCCTCACGGCGAGACACTGTAGACAGACCCTGGTACTTCCATCACAAGGTCTCTGAACCGATGCTGACTGACCCTGAAAGTACACGTTTTTACTTCTCTGTTGTTTACATCTCGTGCAATCACTATAGCAAACACACCTAGTTGTGGTGAAACGCAGATTTATCGACACTGATAGACAAGTCACATATAGACACACAAGTTACATCTAAACACATACATATACAAATAAATGTTCATATCGTACCATTTCCCTAATTTAATGATATAAAGTAACTAGCATGTTTCCGCACTAAAAAACTGAGACACAAACCTGCATTTTTTGCAGGCCAAAAATGTCACTTTGGGGAAAGCGTAAATTAAACACCTGCAATAATGACTGTACATTAATGTTAGATGTACCAGCCACTATAACCGTGGCCGCACTACTACTACTACTACTACTACTACTACTACTACTACTACTACTAGTGTACCAATAACCTGTGAACATGTTTCTAAATTATCTTTTGATTAATTTTCAATTTAAAATTTGATCTGACCAGTGTGCTATCTGCTCGTAGACTGAAAACTTCTCCCCACTCTACCCCTCTTGAAACCTATCCTAACATCCGTTCCCACAGAAGTCCGTCTGTCCAGAATCTATCGCCGCCCACTTGTAAACATGTGGCACAAGACCCAAACCTCAAAAACATTATCTTCTGTCTAATCGTTGAAATGCAAGAAGATATATTTAACAAACTGTAGATGTTTGTGTTCTGATATTTGTCCCGTATTTACGAAAGAATATTAACCATCAGGGCGCGGATTTAGATGGAATTATTTCCAGTAGTTTGTAATGAACATCATAGAAAGGCTTCCATTGTGGTCATTGTTAGCGAAGAGACCCATAGCAACGTGACGTCATAGGAACGCTGTATCGCAAGTAATTGAAGATAACGTCATCCATTCTTTATGACGTCATGTGTGTGTGACTTTGTTCCAACAATAGTGTGTGTGTGTGTGCGTGTGTGTGTGTTCGACTGTTGTTTAACACTAACACACACTTACACACACACCACACACACACACACACCCGGATGTCAGAGAGACCATATATCCCCTCCTCTTCAACCCTCACTTTGAAGTCGTGTAAAATTCAAAACACATCACGCACACACACCAGTATTCCAGCTATACGACGGCGGTCTGTAAATATTCGAGTCTGGACCAGACAATCCAGTGATGAATATTATGAGCATCGATCTACACAATTGGGATACGATGACATGCATCAACCAAGTCAACGAGCCTGACCACCCGATCCAGCTTGTCGCCCCTTACGACTAGCATATTCGCCTTTTACGGCAAGCATGGGTTGGTGAAGACCTATTGTAACCCGGGACTTCATGGGTCCCCACATCCAGTGAACCTACCTGGGCTCCGTGTGGTCACGGTGTCATTACTTCACGTTATAGCCTGAATCATGCACGTATCTAGGACGTGAAAAAACCCTCACTTGTCCACACAGGCAGCTGAAAGTTCTGGCGTGTCTTCATACAGCCACGTGAAGGTTCTGACAACCTGTCTACACAGACGCCTTGAGGGTTCTGACAAACTGTCTACACGGCCACCGGAAGGTTCTGACAACCTGTCTACACAGTCGCCTGGAGGGTTCTGACAACCATTCTACACAGTCGCCTAAAGGTTCTGACAACCTGTCTACACAGTCGCCTGGAGGGTTCTGACAACCTGTCTACACAGCCACCTGAAGGTTCTGACAACCTGTCTACACAGTCGCCTGGAGGGTTCTGACAACCTGTCTACACAGTCGCCTGGAGGGTTCTGACAACCTGTCTACACAGTCGCCTGGAGGGTTCTGACAACCTGTCCACACAGACACGGGACAACCTGTCTACACAGACACCTGACGGTTCTGACAGCCTGTCTACACAGCATCCTGAAGGTTTTGACAACCTGTCTACACAGCCACCTGAAGGTTCTGACAACCTGTCTACACAGCCACCTGACGGTACTGGCCTGTCTACACAGACACCTGACGGTTCTGACAAACTGTCTACACAGACATCTGAAGGTTCTAAAATCTGTCTACACAGACATCTGAAGGTTCTGACAACCTGTCTACACAGCCACCTGAAGGTTCTGACAACCTGTCTACACAGACACCTGAAGGTTCTGACAACCTGTCTACACAGACACCTAAAGGTTCTGACAACCTATCTACACAGACACCTAAAGGTTCTGACAATGTGTCTACACAGACACCTGAAGGTTCTGACAACCTGCCTACACAGACACCTAAAGGTTCTGACAACCTGTCTACACAGCGACCTGAAGGTTCTGACAACCTGTTTACACAGACACCTGAGGGTTCTGGTCTGTCTACACATACACCTAAAGGTACTGACAACCTGTCTACACGGACACCTGAGGGTTCTGGCCTGTCAACACAGACACCTGAAGGTTCCGACAACCTGTCTACACAGCCACCTGAAGGTTCTGACAACCTGTCTACACAGACACCTAAAGGTTCTGACAATCTGTCTACACAGACGCCTGAGGGTTCTGGCCTGTCAACACAGACACCTGAAGGTTCTGACAACCTGTCTACACAGACACCTAAAGGTTCTGACAACCTGTCTACATAGACACCTGACGGTTCTGACAACCTGTCTACACAGCCACCTAAAGGTTCTGACAATCTGTCTACACAGACGCCTGAGGGTTCTGGCCTGTCAACACAGACACCTGAAGGTTCTGACAACCTGTCTTCACATACACCTAAAGGTTCTGACAATCTGTCTACACAGACGCCTGAGGGTTCTGGCCTGTCAACACAGACACCTGAAGGTTCTGACAATCTGTCTACACAGACGCCTGAGGGTTCTGGCCTGTCAACACAGACACCTGAAGGTTCTGACAACCTGTCTACACAGACACCTAAAGGTTCTGACAACCTGTCTACACAGACACCTAAAGGTTCTAAAATCTGTCTACACAGACATCTGAAGGTTCTGACAACCTGTCTACACAGACACCTGAAGGTTCTGACAACCTGTCTACACAGACACCTGAAGGTGCTGACAACCTGTCTACACAGACACCTGACGGTTCTGACAACCTGTCTTCACAGACACCTGAAGGTTCTAACAACCTGTCTACACAGCCACCTGAAGGTTCTGACAACCTGTCTACACAGATACCTGAAGGTTCTGACAACCCTTCGACACAGACACCTGCAGGTTCTGACAATCTGTCTGCACAAACACCTGAAGGTTCTGACAACATGTCTACACAGCCACCTGAAGGTTCTGACAACCTGTCTACATAGACACCTATAGGTTCTGACAACCTTTTTACACAGCCACCTGAAGGTTCTGACAACCTGTCTACACAGATACCTGAAGGTTCTGACAACCCTTCGACACAGACACCTGAAGGTTCTGACAATCTGTCTACACAGCCACCTGGCGGTTCTGACAATCTGTCTACACAGACACCTGAAGGTTCTGACAACCTGTCTACACAGCCACCTGAAGGTTCTGACAACCTGTCTACACAGCCACCTGAAGGTTTTGACAACCTGTCTACACAGACACCTGACGGTTCTGACAACCTGTCTACACAGCCACCTGAGGGTTCTGACAACCTGTCTACACAGCCACCTGAGGGTTCTGACAACCTGTCTACACAGCCACCTGACGGTTCTGACAACCTGTCTACACAGCCACCTGAAGGTTCTGACAACCTGTCTACACAGCCACCTGAAGGTTCTGACAACCTGTCTACACAGCCACCTGACGGTTCTGACAGCCTGTCTACACAGCCACCTGAAGGTTTTGACAACCTGTCTACACAGCCACCTGAAGGTTCTGACAACCTGTCTACATAGACACCTTTAGGTTCTGACAACCTGTCTACACAGCCACCTGACGGTTCTGACAACCTGTCTACACAGACACCTGACGGTTCTGACAACCTGTCTACACAGACACCTGAAGGTTCTCTACACAGCCACCTGAGGGTTCTGACAGCCTGTCTACACAGCCATCTGAAGGTTCTGACAACCTGTCTACACAGCCACCTGAAGGTGCTGACAACCTGTCTACACAGCCACCTGACGGTTTTGACAACCTGTCTACACAGCCACCTGACGGTTCTGACAGCCTGTCTACACAGACACCTGAAGGTTCTGACAACCTGTCTACATAGACACCTAAAGGTTCTGACAATCTGTCTACACAGACACCTGACGGTTCTGAAAACCTGTATACACAGCCACCTGAAGGTTCTGACAACCTGTCTTCATAGACACCTGAGGGTTCTGGTCTGTCTACACATACACCTAAAGGTTCTGACAACCTGTCTACACGGACACCTGAGGGTTCTGGCCTGTCAACACAGACACCTGACGGTTCTGACAACCTGTCTACACAGACACCTGAAGGTTCTGACAACCTGTCTACAGACACCTGAAGGTGCTGACAACCTGTCTACATAGACACCTGGCGGTTCTGACAACCTGTCTGCACAGCCACCTGAAGGTTCTGACAACCTGTATACAGACACCTAAAGGTTCTGACAACCTGTCTACACAGACCCCCGAAGGTTCTGACAACCTGTCTACACAGACAACTGAAGGTTCAGACAACCTGTCTTCACAGACACCTGAAGGTTCTGACAACCTGTCTACACAGCCACCTGAAGGTTCTGACAACCTGTCTACACAGCCACCTGACGGTTCAGACAACCTGTCTACACAGCCACCTGAAGGTTTTGACAACCTGTCTACACAGCCACCTGACGGTTCTGACAACCTGTCTACACAGCCACCTGACGGTTCTGACAACCTGTCTTCACAGACACCTGAGGGTTCTGGTCTGTCTACACATACACCTAAAGGTTCTGACAACCTGTCTACACGGACACCTGAGGGTTCTGGCCTGTCAACACAGCCACCTGAAGGTTCTGACAACCTGTCTACACAGCCACCTGAAGGTTTTGACAACCTGTCTACACAGACACCTGACGGTTCTGACAATCTGTCTACACAGCCACCTGAGGGTTCTGACAACCTGTCTACACAGCCACCTGACGGTTCTGACAACCTGTCTACACAGCCACCTGACGGTTCTGACAACCTGTCTACACAGCCACCTGAAGGTTCTGACAACCTGTCTACACAGCCACCTGAAGGTTCTGACAACCTGTCTACACAGCCACCTGAAGGTTCTGACAACCTGTCTACATAGACACCTGTAGGTTCTGACAACCTGTCTGCACAGCCACCTGAAGGTTCTGACAACCTGTCTACACAGCCACCTGAAGGTTCTGACAACCTGTCTACATAGACACCTATAGGTTCTGACAACCTGTCTACACAGCCACCTGAAGGTGCTGACAACCTGTCTACACAGCCACCTGAAGGTGCTGACAACCTGTCTACACAGCCACCTGACGGTTCTGACAACCTGTATACAGCCACCTGAAGGTTCTGACAACCTGTCTACACAGACACCTGAAGGTTCTGACAACCTGTCTATATAGACACCTATAGGTTCTGACAACCTTTTTACACAGCCACCTGAAGGTTCTGACAACCTGTCTACACAGATACCTGAAGGTTCTGATAACCCTTCGACACAGACACCTGAAGGTTCTGACAATCTGTCTACACAGCCACCTGGCGGTTCTGACAATCTGTCTACACAGACACCTGAAGGTTCTGACAACCTGTCTACACAGCCACCTGAAGGTTCTGACAACCTGTCTACACAGCCACCTGAAGGTTTTGACAACCTGTCTACACAGACACCTGACGGTTCTGACAACCTGTCTACACAGCCACCTGAGGGTTCTGACAACCTGTCTACACAGCCACCTGACGGTTCTGACAACCTGTCTACACAGCCACCTGACGGTTCTGACAACCTGTCTACACAGCCACCTGAAGGTTCTGACAACCTGTCTACACAGCCACCTGACGGTTCTGACAGCCTGTCTACACAGCCACCTGAAGGTTTTGACAACCTGTCTACACAGCCACCTGAAGGTTCTGACAACCTGTCTACATAGACACCTTTAGGTTCTGACAACCTGTCTACACAGCCACCTGACGGTTCTGACAACCTGTCTACACAGACACCTGACGGTTCTGACAACCTGTCTACACAGACACCTGAAGGTTCTCTACACAGCCACCTGAGGGTTCTGACAGCCTGTCTACACAGCCATCTGAAGGTTCTGACAACCTGTCTACACAGCCACCTGAAGGTGCTGACAACCTGTCTACACAGCCACCTGACGGTTTTGACAACCTGTCTACACAGCCACCTGACGGTTCTGACAGCCTGTCTACACAGACACCTGAAGGTTCTGACAACCTGTCTACATAGACACCTAAAGGTTCTGACAATCTGTCTACACAGACACCTGACGGTTCTGAAAACCTGTATACACAGCCACCTGAAGGTTCTGACAACCTGTCTTCACAGACACCTTAAGGTTCTGACAACCCTTCGACACAGCCACCTGAAGGTTCTGACAACCCTTCGACACAGCCACCTGAAGGTTCTGACAACCTGTCTACACAGCCACCTGAAGGTTCTGACAACCTATCTTCACAGACACCTAAAGGTTCTGACAACCTGTCTACACAGCCACCTGAAGGTTCTGACAACCTGTCTACAGACACCTAAAGGTTCTGACAATCTGTCTACACAGCCACCTAAAGGTTCTGACAACCTGTCTACACAGCCACCTGACGGTTCTGACAACCTGTCTACACAGCCACCTGACGGTTCTGACAACCTGTCTACAGACACCTAAAGGTTCTGACAACCTATCTGAAAATTCTGGTATACTCTCTATACACACAACTGAACACTCTTACAACCTGTCTATACACAGACACCTGAAAGGTCAAACACCCTGTCTACACAGACATCTCAGAGCTTAGAGTTAGTGAGTATGCCGCTTTTAACAATATTTTATAATTATCATGACTGGAGACACATTAAGGAATGGAACCTAGACTTCTGTGTGACACACAAATGCTTAAACTACCAGGCTACACTACCATCTGTCCATCTTGTTTGTTTGTTTGTTGTTTAACGTCACATTCATCAATATTCCAGCGATATGATGGCAGTCTGTAAATAATGGAGTCTGGACCAGAAAATTCAGTGATCAATACCATGGGCATCGATCCACACAATTGGGATACGAAGACATGCATCAACCAAGTCAGCGAGTCTGACCACCTGAACTTGTTAGTCACCTCTTACGACAAGCATGGGTTGCTGAAGACCTATTCGAACTTGGATCTTCACAGGTGTAAAATATTAAGGACACACCAGAAAATAAGTTCATTTACTTTTATTAGAAAAAATGAAAATGAGCACAAATGGCGTAAAGAAACATTCATCATTATTTGTACAAGAAACAGAGTACACAGCATAGTCAGCAGATGGCTGCACTTGCATCTTAGGGACCAACCATTTTATAACTGGGGGGTGGTAGGGATTTTATCCAAAAAATATATATTGTCACCGAAAATTGACTGTTGAAAAAGAAAGTGAGTGAGTTTGATTTTGATTTTACGCCGCTTTTAGCAATATTCCAGCAATATCACGGCGGGGGACACCAGAAATGGGCTTCACACATTGTACCCATGTCGGGAATCAAACCCGGGTCTTCGGCGTGACGAGTGAACGCTTTAACCACTAGGCTACCGACCGCCCCTGAAAAAGAAAGAAATTGCCTGCCACGGAAAATACATTGTTGCAACGTATTCTTCAGGCTCTTAGTTTAAAAAAAATATCTGGTTTTGTAGCTGTAGCTGAAATATATCTAATCTTAATACAAAATCCTGGCTCACCCCCTCGAACATAAAATGGTCAGTCCCAATGCACATCTCTCCTAGGGGTATTACGATTCACCGAACAACTGGCTCATCACGATACGCTGTGCCACAATACGAGCATCCTATGGTGAGGTTATGTACTGACACAAAACCATACACCTCTGCATAATAAGGGTCACATGTTTGTTTGTTTGTTTAAAGCCGCACTCAGCAATATTCCAGCTATATGACACCGGTCTGTAAATAATTGAGTCTGACCTGACAATCCAGTGCTTGACATCATGAGCATTAATCCATGCAACAGGGATACAGTGACATGCCTCAATGAGTCAGTGAGCCTGACCACCCATTCCTTTTGGTTAGGTTGCTTGGGACCTATATTCTTACCAGGAACCCCCACAGGTTACGACCGACTGACATGCAAACAGTATGAAAGTATTGTAAAAATTGTTACCTGCAAGGCTGTACAAGAAGCCTAAAGCTAACTTTTCATTAACAACATGACAAGTGTCGATTGCTTACATGTATCATATTGCGACCTTACTTCTGAGATATGTATCATGACAAAGTATATCGTTAATGTTTTCCCCAAATACTGAAAAATACTGAGAATATGGACAAGATGAGTGAAAAATGCCATGTATCAAAAATGATGAAAATACACATCCCACAACTGAAGTCTTCCATATTAGGCTCTGCAGCAGACATCTTCTATTTACAATTCTCAAACATCTTATGTACACCTCACAAAGACGTCCCTCAAAAACCTGCACTCTGACAAACTTATTGTATATAAAAAATAGCAGCTGATTCCTTGTATGTTTGTTGTTTAACGCCACACTTAGCAATATTTCAGCTATATGATTTGGTCTGTAAAATACCAGTATTTAAGTCTGGGCCAGACAATCCAGTGATTGATATCATGAGCATCGATCAACGCAATTGGGACACGATGACAAGCATCAACCAAGTCAGCAAGCCTGACCAACCGATCCCATTAGTTGTCCTTTACCACAAGCGTAGTCACCTTTTACGGCAAGCATGGGTTGCAGAAGACCTATAGATTCCAACCCGGATCTTCACGGGTATGTTTCCACGTAAACAATATTGTATACCGGTAGTTGCTGTTGCCAGGTCAAGCAATATGAGCAGGTTGTCATGATGAGCAGATCCCGTGTTCATTCACCGGTAACTCCAACTGCTCTCACTGCCACGTTACACGTCTAAATGCATGCATGTGAAACAGGATTAAGAAAAATGGAGAATAAGTGAGTGAATGAAAATGATATAAAAAAGCTGCTGGTTTGTGGTTTAGCTAAGCAGGTGTGTAAAGGCTTCAAAAGTGTATTACAGGCTTATACATGTTTGATAAAGCATTCAAAAGGTTTCTTCAAATCCTTATCACAAGTACTAGACAACCACCAGATTTAAGGTTACCCTTACATCAGCTAACAGATCCGAGATACAGTGATAATGATCTGTCACAATGATAACTATCTGTCACAATGATAACTATCTGTCACAGTGGTAACTATCTGTCAGAATGAGTGAGTGAGTTTGGTTTAACGCCGCTTTTAACATTATTCCAGTTATATCACGGCGTGTCAGCTTAATGTGGGAGGAAAGCCCGAAGTGATGCAGGTCTCGGACGTTTACCACTTCGGTGAAACCCACGAGCACGGGTATGGTGCTGACAAACCTAGAAACATAATCAGGGCGAACCGGGATTCGAACCCACGATCATAGGTTTCTGGCGTGCCCAAGGGGCGCAACTCTGCACAGCGAATCGCGGCGCCTTAGACGACTGGGCCACCCGTGCCCCCTGTCAGAATGAAAACTGTCACAATGATAACTATCTGTCAGAATGATAACTATCTGTCACAATGATACTATCTGTCACAATGATAACTATCTGTCACAATGATACTATCTGTCACAATGAAAACTATCTGTCACAATGATACTATCTGTCACAATGATAACTATCTGTCAGAATGATAACTATCTGTCACAATGATAACTATCTGTCACAATGATACTATCTGTCACAATGAAAACTATCTGTCAGAATGATAACTATCTGTCACAATGAAAACTGTCACAATGATAACTATCTGTCACAATGATAACTATCTGTCACAATGAAAACCGTCAAAATGATAACTATCTGTCACAATAACTATTTATCACAAGTATCTCTTCTGTCAGAACAAAAATGTTTCTTTATTAGACAAATGCAATGGCAAGTTTCCATATTTTAACAGTTGAGTTCTTGTACGTGAAACTCTATAGAAACAGAGAGTGGACAAATAGTACTTAACATGCATAAAGAAGTTGCAAAATTGTCTCCATTGTCTGGGGTGGACACAATGCAGGGGACACCCTTGAGAACCCATCTAGACTTCCATAGTAGCTACTGCATGACATAAACCTACCACAAACACATTGAACACTGACACATACAATATCCTGTACTGACACAACCTCCATTGTAATCATGTCTTGTTCACAAGTTTCTTCTGTCAAGTGACACATGTGCAGATGTGACCGAGAGTAAGTCTACAGCCACAGTCCTAGCCAGAAATCCACTGGACTGGACAGCCATGACCTGTGAGTATGAACGTGAAGGAATCTCGCAGCGCCTCAGTTGGGGACGTCGATGATGAGGTCGGTGTCATCCTCCTCCCCTCCCATGATGTCACTCAGACTGAAATATACAACACTCCATCACGAACACGGCGTTGACAGGCTGATTCAGCAGCTCAGAGCTTCCCCTACACCTTTGATAGTCTCATCCAGTACTGACAGCACAGCTGGCAATTTAAAGACTCAGCATTTTTCTTAAAGATTTGTTCTTCTCTGCAATAATTATCATCTTTTTTTCATATGGGTTCTCGTGTATGTATAGAATTTCCAATTTCAAAATTGTCAATTCAAAACTGTGAATTCTGATAAATACTCAACATAATCATTAATATTTTGGGACATTTCTGGTCATGAAGACTGAGCACACAATTTCCTACACAGATCCCTAACTTTTATTGTCCAGTATATTACATTTAGCAGTTTAAACTACATAGTTTAGGACCCTCAAAATATCAAAAATAAGGTACTAAAATTTCAGAGTAATCTTTTTTTCTTCTGCTGAGAGTGTTTACTAAATTCAAACACAGAGAAAAGCTTTCATATGCATATAGGAAAGGGAAGTAACCCTGTCATTCCCAAAACAGTTTTCATTCTGGTTCATATTTCATTTCCCCTGACCATCAATACAGAAAATGGACCACTTTAAGAAAAACAGATATTTTCCAAATCTTTTCATGTCTTAAATCAACGTGCTCAAATGATTTAATGCATTTCGTGAGGCAAGACCTGTTTCATTTCCACTTGACCTGTGGTTTCGAAAAGCTACAAACCACACAATTACAAAAACGGCTTTCTGTACACAAGTGAAGGCCAAGATGAAGGCCAAGATGAAGGTGGTACACGGTGTGGGTAATCTGCTGTGGCACGAGATGGAGCGGAAACTTACATCATCTGCTGCAAGCATAACATGCAGGTGGACGATGGCATATTAGGTTGCTGGTGTCGGCATTACACACCCACCAGACCAGAGACTTTCTCCCCTTTCCAATATGGCAGATTGATACCTTAATAGATAAAATAGGTGTTTTCTCATGAAAAATCAGCAAATAAGTAATCCTTGTACGTACATGTGCGCCCTCACAATATGTGAAACATGGTAATGATTCAAACAGCTTTTGAGAAACATTTTAAGATGCTGACACATTATATTACCACCCAATCAACATCTTCCTGAGACAAGGGTGTTATCTGACTATAAAGGTCCAGTTACCACCCTTGCCGAACTAGGCTGGAATTCCAGAGTTACAGTTTGGCTGGACTAACTACTCTATGCATAGTTCAATCAAAATTGCGTAACGAACTAGACATTCGGTTCATAAGCAACATGGATTTCAATGTGTAGATTTCGGTCAACTGCAGGATTTGCAAAGCATGTGTACCGTCAACTTGGTGGGCTAGATATTTTCCAAATCTTTTCATGTCTTAAATCAACGTGCTCAAGTGATATATTACAAAATAAAGTCTGATCATCTTCATTTGGCACCACCATTTTGTTTGAAGCAAATGCAAGTGATATGAGGGATATAGAAGGCATAACTGCCACTGGTGGCGCTACGATCGAGCAATGAAATTGCAACCTAGTTCGGCAAGGAGGGATCCTGGACTTTTATAGTCAGTTAACGCCCTTGACTCAGGAAGATGCCTCATCAAGGGTTATAGGCATTGTACACACCTAATTTCCACATCCATCTACATATCATGGATTCTCAGCTACAGTATTTTTCGGTGAACAATAACCCGAGACTCATAATACTTTTTGAAGCAAAACCCTGACCTTACAAGTATAGTGATATTCCAAAGCCCAAAATACGAAATTATTGCTTCTCAATGAAAAATTTTCCAGTCAAAACGGGCTGGGCAGTCTGTAAGATAAAGACCCAGGTTCGATTCTCCACATGGGTACAATGTGTGAAGCCCATTTCGGGTGTCCCTGCCATGATATTGCTGGAATACTGCTAAAAGTGGCATAAAACAATACTAAATCTACATTTACTTGTGACAGTTATGTGTTTTTCCCCTGGAGTTCAGCTAAAAGTGTCACAAATGTAAAAACCTTACTCACTCACTCACTTCATGTAAATAAAATAAAAAAATAAAATGACCCAATGTCAGAATATTAATTTCTTTAAAATAAAATGAAAATATGTAGTTAATGATGTCCCTCTAGCCTGGGAGTATTTAGCCTCACCTGTCTGGGTTGGAGTTGTCGTTGCTGAAGATTTCCATGGGAAGAAGCGTTGGAGCCTTCTCGATGCCAAATGAGTTCTGTTTCGCATCTAGGTGGCGCTCCAGCTCCTCTCGAGTCATCTGACCAGGCTGGCTCTTCACCGACTTGCGCTCTGAGGACTTTGGGTTAGCTGTGATCAAACAAACCAATGTCACAACACTGACAACGTTCAAAGTCTGCCATAAATCATGTTAAACATGAAGTACTACTAACAAATGTACTGGTACTTTTGGGAGTTGAGTCCAATCCGGGATTCTAACCCACACTCTGAGTAAGGCACCTAATCACCAGCACACAAAGTCAGTGATCTAACCCACTCAGAAGTGGTCAAATGTAACAAATGTTTTATTTGGGATAACAGTTTCTTTGACCGGATAGGACTCGCCAAAAATGTACTAGCATTGTACTTTACTTAGAAAGTGTTGTCCCAAATATAACATTTGTTACAGCTGACCACTTCCTAAATGGTCTCGTGGTCTCATATAGTACTACTAGAACTTGGAACTGTTTGGGAACTTAACAGCATTCGTTGGGTATAATAAGTTTGTACCAACCAACCAGTCAATGATTGATCATGATCGGTTGCTACTTGTTCTGTATCTGCAAAATTTACCAAAGGACCTGATTCGGCAATGATTCTACAATTGTAAATACTTGCCTGGTTGCATATTGACAAGAAATGTGATTGATCTTTTTTGAATAATTATATGATTCTATCCTGCTTTTTCTCAAATATTCCCGTCTGGACCAGACGATCCAGTGATTCATGTGAGCATCGTTCCACATCATGAACCAAATCACAGAGCCTGACCACCTGATCCTTGAAGTGGTCTCTTTTGACCAGCATCGGTTTCTGGGAAACTACTCTGCCCCAGACTTCCCACATGGGGAGAGGTAAGGCAGCTCCATGCCAACTGTCAACACAGGACCACTTCCTTGGTCTACTGGATAGAAAGTCTGACCATCAAGCAGCTCTGTAGTTCAATCCCCGTGTCATACCAACAGATGTGAAAAGATGGTATTTGTTGTTACCCTGCCTGACACTTGTCATTAAGGGTCAAAAACAAGGACTGGTGGACTCGGAGTCAGTATACTGTGTCTGAGTGGGGTATTCATGCTAAAACTGTGGCATGGTATCTATGTGGGCTAGCACTATAAAACCAACATTAATCAAGACTAGTACAAGAAGACACACACACACAACCGCACTCAGCAATATTACAGCTATATGTCTGTAAATAATCAAATCTGGACCAGTCAATCCAGTAACTGACATCATGAGCATCGATCCACGTAATTGGGATGCGAAGACATGAATCAATCAAGTCAGCAAGCCTGACCACCCAATCCCGTCGCCTCTTACTACAAGCATGGTTGCCTTTTATTTTTACACACACAGACACAGACAGAACGACGTGTGGCTATATCAGCGCAATAACCCTGACGTTAAACCCCAGTTCACCCCACATCATCAACACACTACACTGAACACAAGGGCCCCAATAATCAACACACTCACGTTTTCCTTTCTTCAAACTGCTCTTCTTCTTCTTTCCACTGTCGCCTCCAGCTGACCCCGACACCTGCAGGCAATACAGAAAGTCCTCGAGTACAGAAACTGACTAAACTTCACAACAACTGATTCTCAGGCACAGCTTTACCGGACACGAATTGAGAAGGAGCCTGACCACACCGATCCCGTTAGTCGCCTCTTACGACAAGCATGGTCACCTATTATGGCAAGCGTGGGTTGCTGAAGAGTTATTTTAACCCGGATATTCACGGGTCATTAGTTAATTTCATATCACCAGTCTGGGATCCAATGTTTATGCTTTGAACACTCCAAAATTATTACAAAGGCTCCCTGGACACAAAAACGTATGTACCCAAGTACACCCCATAAAATCAGTGAGGACAGGTTGACTATTTTTTTTCTAGTTTATTGAAGTGTACTACCTGGGGCTGAAACTTATTTTCCATTTCCTTCAAAAGCAAAGATAAGATGCCATCATTCTGTTTTTTAACTGCTGCAAGTGGGTTGAGAAACTATTAAATTTCACTTTGTTGTTTATCCGCTGCATTGTCACAGAGCATATTCACACAGTGCAGAATCTTTGACAAAGAATGACAGAGAAATAAACAATCAAACCAATGATGTCATATTTACATCCTGATACTAGTGTATGTTTGTAGGTGACAGAAGACATGTTGTCCCACCTGTGTAGACAGCCCAGCCATGCCGGCACCTCCAATCAGATGAGCCAGTTCCGGCGGTACCCCCGACTGCCCCGGACTCACACTCGCCAACTTCCGCCTGGGTAGAACAACATCAAATACTGTCAGTCTGGACAGTTTTGTGAGCAATAAAGTACTGTGAAAACTGGGTGCCACACTTGCAATAATTTCATGATCCAATTATTTATGTACCCTTTAGCATATCCAGAATGTCATTATGATGACATCTTCTGTGAAAACTGCAAGTAACTCACACTCGCAACAATTTCATGATGCAGCTATTTATGAACTCTTTAGCGTGTCCAGAAAATGAGTGAGTGAGTTGGGTTTAACGTCGCTTATAACATTTTTCCAGTTATATCGCAGCATGTCAGCTTAAATGGGGGGAAAGCCTGAAGTGATGCAGGTCTCAGACGTTTACCACTTCGATGAAACCAACAAGCAGTGGTATGGTTCTGACAAACCTAGAAACATAATTGGGGTGAACTGGGATTCGAACCCACAATCATAGGTTTCTGGCGTGCCCAAGGGACGCACAGCGAATCACGGCGCATTAGATGACTAGGCCATCCGTGCCCCCCCGATAAGAAAGAGAATGATGTGGCAGGGGTAGTCAGGTGATCAAGTCGTGTCAGATCACACGCATGGGATTACAGTGCGTGACCCATTTGTCTGGGTGGTGACCATGGTGATGCTGGGATGTGTTTGGGTGAAATGGAAAACTTTGTTCAAGCATGTTTGCAGGTCTACACCAAAATAGAAAAAAATTGGCAAGGATCGAAAGAAGAAGGAAGAAATGCTTCATGTGATAAGTTTAAATTAAAAACATTTCTAACCATGGGTACATGACACCAAATTTAATACATTACCCATACATTGCTACATACTAAAAGTGTAAAGACCTACTTTTTGGCTGGGGTGTCCTTGTGCCCATCTCCATCACTGTCACTGGAGGCTGTAGCATCGCTGTCTCCGGAGGAGTCATTCACCTTCTCATACTGCAGCAGCCGATCCAGCAGAAAACTAACAATCACAACAATCAGGTTATTCCCCTGACACCAACACATATAAGTCAGGGAAACAAGTAGCTGTCTCACAAACAGTACCACTGGGAGCGTACCAGGTTATTCCCCTGACACCAACACATACAAGTCTGGGAAACAAGTAGCTGTCTCACAAACAGTACCACTGGGAGTGTACCAGGTTATTCCCCTGACACCAACACATACAAGTCTGGGAAACAAGTAGCTGTCTCACAAACAGTACCACTGGGGGTGTACCAGGTTATTCCCCTGACACCAACACATACAAGTCTGGGAAACAAGTAGCTGTCTCACAAACAGTACCACTGGGAGCGTACCGGGTTATTCCCCTGACACCAACACATACAAGTCTGGGAAACAAGTAGCTGTCTCACAAACAGTACCACTGGGAGCGTACCAGGTTATTCCCCTGACACCAACACATACAAGTCTGGGAAACAAGTAGCTGTCTCACAAACAGTACCACTGGGAGTGTACCAGGTTATTCCCCTGACACCAACACATACAAGTCTGGGAAACAAGTAGCTGTCTCACAAACAGTACCACTGGGAGTGTACCAGGTTATTCCCCTTACACCAACACATACAAGTCTGGGAAACAAGTAGCTGTCTCACAAACAGTACCACTGGGAGTGTACCAGGTTATTCCCCTGACACCAACACATACAAGTCTGGGAAACAAGTAGCTGTCTCACAAACAGTACCACTGGGAGTGTACCAGGTTATTCCCCTGACACCAACACATACAAGTCTGGGAAACAAGTAGCTGTCTCACAAACAGTACCACTGGGAGTGTACCAGGTTATTCCCCTTACACCAACACATACAAGTCTGGGAAACAAGTAGCTGTCTCACAAACAGTACCACTGGGAGTGTACCAGGTTATTCCCCTGACACCAACACATACTAGTCTGGGAAACAAGTAGCTGTCTCACAAACAGTACCACTGGGAGTGTACCAGGTTATTCCCCTGACACCAACACATACTAGTCTGGGAAACAAGTAGCTGTCTCACAAACAGTACCACTGGGAGTGTACCAGGTTATTCCCCTGACACCAACACATACTAGTCTGGGAAACAAGTAGCTGTCTCACAAACAGTACCACTGGGAGTGTACCAGGTTATTCCCCTGACACCAACACATACTAGTCTGGGAAACAAGTAGCTGTCTCACAAACAGTACCACTGGGAGTGTACCAGGTTATTCCCCTGACACCAACACATACTAGTCTGGGAAACAAGTAGCTGTCTCACAAACAGTACCAATGGGAGTGTACCAGGTTATTCCCCTGACACCAACACATACTAGTCTGGGAAACAAGTAGCTGTCTCACAAACAGTACCAATGGGAGTGTACAATGTTAGATGTATAAAAAAAAGTACCATATTCGACGTAATAAGCGCCCAGGGCGCTCTCAAAATTAAAAATAGGGGGCTCTTATTAGAATATTATTTTGGTGAAGAGTTGAAGACAGATATATTTTTCCAGAATTTAATTGCCCATAATTAAGGGTGCATATAACACATGAGGGCGTATTATACACAAATAATCAAGTCTTGTGTACATAGGTCAATCGGAAGGGGTGTTAATTGGGACTGTTCACTAGCCAATGTATTAGCAAATATCGCCTAGGGCACTTATTAGATCAGGGCGCTTTTTTTGCGTCGAATACGGTATATGTATTTGACGTATTCACGCTGCTCCAATAAACACCCCCTGACTATCTGACTGATCTGTAAGTAATCTTATAAGTGCCCCCTACTAAGACCAAAATGTGTATTTGCTGGTGGATATTGCAGATTTGTTTAAAAAAACAAGCAATGGAGAAGGCGTATATAATTGCCTTGTAACTATTTTCAAATTTATTTTAGTTTCTTCGATGTTTGAACTAATTTAGTTCACTGCTGCTTGATCTCCAACAACAAACTTAATGTGCTGTTTATGGGCTTAACAAGAACCTCCCATTTGCTATTAAGCACCTGAGTGCTTATTGCGGCTATTATGGTAATATGATGGAACCAGGCACAGAACAAACCTCCTGTCCCGTGACACCTTCAACAGCTTCCTCTGGGCTTTCCGTAATTCTTCCAGGAAACATTCTTGCTCCTGAAAAATTAATTCTCTTCAGTGAGTGAGTGAGTGAGTAGGGTTTTAAGCCACTTTTAGCAATATTCCAGCAATATCACGGCGGGGGACACCAGAAATGAGCTTCACACATTGTACCCATGTGGGGAAACGAACCCGGATCTTCGGGGTGACGAGCGAATGCTTTAACCAATAGGCTACCCGACCGCCCCTAATTCGCTACAGCATGTTCAGTAATTACATCCATTCTTATGTAGAAAAATCAATACCAGTCGGATCCATTAGATTTTTGTAGCAAAGATTTTGTAAAAGAACGATATCCGAGCACATAGAGTGTGATAATTATATGAGTTATGCTATCTACTATTAAACAGAGCATAACCACTTCTGGTGTTTCTGTTAAACCTGTAATAATAACTACCTCAATCCTGAAAGATATCCCAACAACTGCCCCCAATCTTCTCTTGCCTGACTTGTTCACATACCAAGTGCGTAATAGTGAGTGAGTGAGTGAGTTGGGTTTAACGCCGCTTTTAACAGTATTCCAGTTATATCACGGCGTGTCAGCTTAATGTGGGAGGAAAGCCCGAAGCGATGCAGGTCTCAGACGTTTACCACTTCGGTGAAACCCACGAGCACGGGTATGGTGCTGACAAACCTAGAAACATAATCGGGGCGAACCGGGATTCGAACCCACAATCATAGGTTTTCTGGCGTGCCCAAGGGACGCAACTCTGCACAGCGAATCGCGGCGCCTTAGACGACTGGGCCACCCGTGCCCCCCCAAGTGTGTTATAGTACTGATTAAAGTATTAGTAAAGTGACGTTAAAGTTATGTTGGATTTTGTTTGTTTGTTGTTCAAAGCCGCACTGAAATATTCCAGCTATAGGACGGCAGTCTGTAAATAATTGAGTCTGGACCAGACAATCCAGTGATTGATATCATGAGCATCAATCCACGCAATTGGGATACGATGACATTCATCAGCCAAGTCAGCAAGCCTGACCACCCTTTCCCGTTAGTCGCCTCTTACGACAAGCAAAGTCGCCTACTATGTTGGATGGATGGGTGACAGTGTTCGGAAGCTTGACTCCTGCAAAAGTTTCTAGGCCTTCAGTCCTGCACCACAGAGCACAATACATGTGGTGTCTCCTTAGACAAGACTTTGTTTGAAATATTCCTCTGTTCACCGGAGACTGTAAACTTTCTAGCGCATCATAAAGTAGTGTGGGCTGAATACTCCCCAGGGAACTGAGAATGAAATCTGAGTGCACACTAATCCATTGAACGGGGCTACAATTCACTCAGTTAGAGCATGCTTTAGGGCACCTTTAAAAACCAGTTGCCACCCGTGCTGAACTTGGCTTGAACTCATTAGTCAAGCAAAATATAACTCCATAATTCCAGCCTAGTTCGCCAAGGGAGGAAATTAGACTTTTATACTTCTTAAACTCCCTTGCCTAGGGAAGATGGCTTTAGGATGTGAATATTGTGCATTATAAATATACATATTATTGTTATTAATTATTATTTGATAAGTTTATGATCTGATAGATTGACGTACATAAACCAGGAGCTTTAATTTCTTCTTTAGAGTCTTATACTTTCCCTTGTAGTCAATCTGCTGTTCACCTCCATAACCATCTGTAACAAAAAAAACAATTTGTTGATCTCACAAGGACATAAGGCATATACCACACAACAATTCACAATCCATATAGCTAAACAATGCTGTGTCAAAAGTGAGAGAATTTATGGATGGGATCTAATTTATATGAAGAACACGTTTTAGAGTATATGCCTTCATGAGGTGAATGCAACATGGCTGTTAAACATGTTAAAATTTAACTGAGATAAATTAATGATACAGACATCGAATCTGATTAATGCATTACACTTCAGATCCATTACAATACATTTTGTTTGTTTGTTGTTTAACAACGCACTCAGCAATATTCAGGCTATATGACGGCGGTCTGTAAATTATTGAGTCTGGCCCAGACAATCCAGTGATTGACATCATGAGCATCGATCCACGCAAGTCAGCGAGCCTGACCATCTGATCCCGTTAGTTGCCTCTTAAGACAAGCATAGCATGCACAATACATAGATGTACCATAAATCTGATATGCAGTTACGTTGAGAATATCAAGTTAACATGGTTCAATTAAGGCCTTGTGTACAACTTACATTTGTACTGTGATATATTATATATGTAACAGGGCTTCAGGCTTTATGTCATTGTAACAGAAAGGTCCACATTCTTCTTAACTCTCCGATTGTAGGGGACCCAAGGCCAAACGACCTATTTAATGGCCAGTGATATCAGTGATAAGTAGTTATATAATTTAGTCACATCTCCCGTTCGTTGCTATATTGCGCCTTTGGTATCTTATGAAAAGGGTTGTTTTAGGATGCAGTTATCATCAACCTGAGCCCGGTAAATTGGTAAAACAGAGTAATTAGGGTTCACGATCCACAGTTTGCAAATATTTTTTGTATTTTGGTGTTAGACCATGCAGCCACACAATGTACAGAAATGCATTAACTGATAAAAATGTAAAGGTATAACGTGCATTCATTACCAGCAACTGGCATCATTATGTAGTCGTTAATGTTAACGCCGCATGCACTGAAATGTTTGTATTGTCTTTTTCTCTATTTCCTTGAAACGAAAGTCGGTGTTATCCCCCTTGGATCCGTGAACTACGTCATCACTTTATGATGGCAAGTGCTCTACGTTGCACTTTGTGACTTCCTTTTGCAACTTCATTGGCGATGTAGGTGGATAGTAATGCCGACTTACATTTTAAAATCCAATATTATCGCTATAATTATTTGACATCCTGCATTATAATAACAATTTCAAATAAGATAATAAATTGTATTTCTAAATATGCCAATATTGTTCAGACATTACCTGGCATTATTGGTATATTTACTCATTTTTGTCCGGCATGTAGTGAAGCCTGCTTCACAGGACACATGAATTGTACACTCACAATGTTTACATCGGCACATATCACAATATATCTCACTGAAACATGTATGGATGCCCAGTGCTATGTTATTTGTCATCTTTCACATTTTAGTTTCACTCACGATGAAAGATAAATGGCATGGCATCTTTGAATCGGCTATGTTATGCTAGTAAATTCGAAATAATTTTGCACAGTTCAGATGAATTCATAGATTTTTTAATCTGGTTATTTGGTAGAATGATTGGGTTATGAAGATGGCTACGAACGTGGGTCATTTAACTATACAATGGTAGGAATGAAATAAAATAAATAGAACTGGTTGATCGTAGATGGGCCTGTATGCTTTGTAGAGATTTGCAGATTCAGAATCAGTATTAATTTTCATATTTTCACCGTGTAATTTTGTTTAGGACGCTTAAAATCACACGGACAACTGTAAAACATATTACTCACTAAAGTCAGCCATCATCTGAGTATTTACATTGCAGTGTGACTCCACACCCTTCGTTATAGCAGGAGTAATCTCGATAAACATGGCCATCCGAAAGCGTATGTTTTATCCGACACGATATTACTTGAGCATTTTGAAAATAAGCAAATAAATCTCTTTAGGAAAACAGGTATTCCTTCATTTATTTCAATTACTATCTTTTCGAAGATGCAGAAATTGTTGACCATTAGTGGTTCAAGGGCAGAACTTGTTATCAGAGCAGACAAGTGAGGATCAGGGTTCAGTGTATCTCATACTGTCTGTGGATAATTGCTCATGCTGTATAGCACTAGTCTGACCTATTTTCATGCCATCATACACTTGAAATATTTTTTACTAAAACTTAAAACGATATTCACTCCCTAGTCACTTGCTCAGAATTTTCATAACTTCACATTGTTTGATATAAAACATAAACAGAAGTATAAAGTTTTGTGTTAAAGTAATAGTAATAGAAATACTGTTGGATAGAGCAGAAGGTTGTGGGTTCAATCCCTGGCTGTTTAATACTTGAAGACGTTAGAAAGTACTAGTTGCCTGGTGCGCGGCATTAAGGTGCACACACACACACACACACACACACACACACACACACACACACACACACACACACATATATCACTATATAAGTATTATAAGTGCAATCTTGAACGAGATGCTAAATCACATTTCATTTTCTGTTTAATACCTAAGCTGCACGTGATGCTGCCTCCTCATCTGATTAAGACTTTGGCATAATGCTCAATCTGCTTGGTCTGCTATAGTCAGTAATGGTCAGTCTTTACCATGTTTACTTATCTGTAATGTATGTTTCAGATGGGTCCCAAACCAGCGCCAGCAGCCCAAGTGGCTAAGAAAAAGGTCAAGAAACCAACATATGTTGAGAAAAAGATTGGTGGAGACAAAAATGGAGGAAGTCGACGTGTGGCCATCACCAGATATGTAAGTTAGAAAGTTCCTACTTGTTGAGGGGAACATGCAGATCTCTAAATACACTAGCAATTGCTGTATATCAGGGGTTATGGGCGTCTTAGTTGTCCAAGGCGCTATAATTCACTGTGCAGAGTTGGTTTGGCACGTACCCATGATCGTGGCTTCAAATCCTGATTCGCCCGGATTATGTTTCTGGGCATGTCAGTAGACTCTACGCCATACCCGTGCATCATTTTGGGGTTTCCTTCCACATTAAGCTAACACACCGTGATATAACTAGAATACTGTTCAAAGCGGTTAGGCCCAAATCCCACAATGCTGTATATCAGATTAGTGCCTTTGTTTTTTATCTCATTAGTTAAAATGATCAAACAAGTAAAGATTGAAGTATCCCAGTACACACCGTTTGGGTAACCCCAGTAGGACCTCAATAATATGATGAACAAACGGGCATGCAGTTATGGGCACGATGTGTGCAAGGTGCTTGAATACCTGTGTTTAGATGTATCTTGACAGAATCGTTGCACATCATTGTCAGAGAGCACAACAACATTTGCTATTGAAGATTGTAACAACTGAATGCACTTATTCCCCCTCATTATCAAAGATGTCGATAGTACTTGAAGACCAAAGTAGTAGGCAGATGCATAGGCATTATTGAAACTGGATCATCACAATGTCACATTGCAAACATCTTTGGTGATCGCCAATTGGATCAGCAAGGCAAAGAATCGATACTAGACGTTTGGATCAGCTACCAAGTGACATGCACCACACAGCGGGAAGACAGGTTTCTCCTGATTGCAGCAAGACGTCGTCACTTTGTCACTGCTACCACACTCAGAAATGACATGCGGAACATGGTGGCATTAATGTTTCTTCTCAGACAGTGCTTATCTCTGTTAGGATAGTCTCCGGTCAGATTTCAGGATTCCAACATCACCGAACATGACAGCTTTGGAGAGGGATCAATCATGATTTGGGGGCATGGGTGGCCCAGTCATCAATGGCGCTGTGCAGAGTTGTGTCCCTTGGGCACGCCAGAAACCTATGATTTTGGGTTCTAATCCCGGTTCACCCCAATTAAGTTTCTAGGTTTGTCAGTACTGTACCCATGCTCGTGGATTTCACTGAAGAGACCTGCATCACTTCGGGCTTTCCTCCCACATTAAGCTGACACACTATGATTTAACTTGAATACTGTTAAAAGTGGCTTTAAACCCAACTAACTCGCTCAATCATGATTTAGGGTGTGATCACATACTGAAGTGGTGCCTTTTGATATTTTGGGATTTTTCTAATTTTTATTTTTTTAAATTTTTATGGAAAGAAGTTGGACATAGACTCCATTTGGGAACGGATTCGTTTCCGGGGCAGAATTTCGAAAACCATTCAGTGGGTAAACAATGTATGCTTCTTAAAGAACATTCAACTGTTGACTCATTACATACAGAATTGCACATTTACTAGTGGTTACTTTACAGACAGCTGCCGGGGGGATATGTCATCTTTCTGATGACTCTTGTTGTGATTTTGTTTTACTTTCAGTTTTGGTCAGATCCACAGTGTGGCAATGAGAAGGAGAATGGGGTGGTAGGGGTAGTCAGGTGATTTCGTTGTGTACTGTCACAATGCATGGGATTACAGTGCGTGACCCATTTGTTTGGGTGGTGACCATGGTGATGTTGGGATGTGTTTGGGTGAAATGTTTTCAAAAGCTGGAAACTTCGTTCAAGAATAATTCCACATAAGGATGGGAAGAGAACTGAAGAAATGCATAGTGTGAGATAGGATTAGTATTAAATATAAAATTTAGTGTCAAATTTACAAGTTTGATGCGTGATCTGATTATTGGTCACATGTTATTTGTTGGCTCTTTGTGGCAAATGCCAACAGACTTTTTCCATTAGACATGTTGCCTTTGTCTTTTTCAATTTATGCACACAATTTGACGTATTACCTTTAAAAGTGATGATTCTTAGCAAACTTTGAGTAGTATATATTAACATTGCAGAACCCTTAAAAATTGCAAATTTTCAGAAGGTCGTTATGATCCCTTAATTATTGGGCAGTTTGGCAAGGGTTATAAGAAAAGTGCCTATTTCTATTGTTAAGACACCAGACATGGGCTTCACATATTGTATCCTTTGTGGGGAATCCAAACCAGTATTTTTATTACAAGTCACAGCCCTATCTTTTGGGGATGATTGTGGCCCCATGGAGCAGTGTTGGGAATTGGTTGTAAAATCATGATGGATGATTGGATCATCCCAACTGGTCGATCATCAAAATGAATCAGTTAGCATAATTTTTTAATGTTTTTTAGTGTTAAATGCAGTAAAACTAATCACACTTTTAGCACTTTTCTTATGACTAAAAAGTGCTTGCCTTACTCTTTCTCACTTGTTTTTCTGAGTACTAAGTAGTGGATAAATGATTATCCAATCAATTGCCATGGAATCACTTGCAATTTATTTATTCTATTAGAACAGTTGAGAACTTGAGAGAGGGGTCAGAATCATGTGCGTTCGATGGCTTCGTCATTTGGACCTTCCAATCAATCTTCGATAATTTCAATTAATCGGAACACTGCTATGAAGGAGACGCAATTTGTTGTGGAGGAGCTTGCAAAAATTACAAATGAGTTATCTCCCTTAGACTCGTGACTACAGCCTTATAGTGTACCATGCTTACCGAGTTCTTTTCTCCGCAGCCCCGTTACTACCCAACAGAAGATAAGTCTCGTGACCTGAAACACAAACAGAAGGCATTCAGAAACCATAAACACAAGCTGAGGAGCACCATCTCCCCCGGCACTGTGCTCATCATTGTCGCTGGCAGACAAAAGGGAAAGGTAAGATGGATTATTGTTACATTAGGCCCAAAAACTGATGTGCCTATTACTCGGCCGAGGTTAAATTAAGGTGGAGACTCTAACTTAAACAAAGTGTGCACATGATCATATGCCTAAATTGTTATTTTGGGCCTTGTTAGACTAAAAGAAATAGAAGAATTTGTTCTCAGGCATTGACTTTTAAAAACATAGTGAGGGCGAGTGTGTTTTATTGTTTGCATGTTCAGACTAGTATGTAACCAAATAAACAGTTGTGGACAATCAACCTGAGAAAGGGCATCCCTACATAAACTGTATTCATATCTTTGCAGCGTTTTTTTGTGAAAGTGTTCTATTAATACATGATTTTCAAATTTGTTTTATTTCTCTAATGTTTGCGTGTTCAATCAGTTCTTATCCCATTTAATTATCTCTGACTTGTGGCTTTAATAGTGTTAAACAATCACTCATAAAAAATTGTTGATATATAAAACTGTGTTAACCCTGTGAAGCTTTGCTTGTGGTGATAGCAAAGTAAATTGGGGGTAATTATTTACAATGTGTGACCCTGTTCCTTTGTTTCAGCGCGTTGTTTTCCTGAAGCAGTTGAACTCCGGATTGCTTCTTGTTACTGGTGAGTGGTTACTCTAGTCATTCTCTCTTCACACGCCTGTAGACACTTGAACATAGTGAGAGTTGCCTCTCCTTTGCAACGAGACAAGATTCAAATAGAACATTCCCACTTCTATCCGAACATCCTTCTGCATGTGTTTAATTGTTGTTAAACGCCGCACTCAGCAATATTCAAGCTGTATGACGGCGGCCTGTAAATAATCAAATCTGGACAAGACAATCCAATGATTGACATCATGAGCATTGATCTATGCAATTCGGATACGATGACATGCATTAATCAAGTCAACAAGTCTGACCACCCAATCCTGTCGGTCGCCTCTTACAACAAACATGGGTTGCCGAAGACCAATTCTAACCAGATCTTCAGTTATTCAGGATGTAAAAGAGTCGTAGTCAAGTGATTAAGTCATTGGCTCAACGTGGTGACACTCTGGGTTTCATTTACCACATAGGTACAATGTGTAAATCCAGGTTTTTTTGTGGCCCCTTCTGTGATGAGGGTGGAATAATGCTAAAAGTGGAGCCTCACCCAACTCGCCACTGATGTGAAAATTCAGGGCATGCATACCAACATGCAAGAACTAAGGGGCATAACTCTGCTGTTATTGTGTATGTTATAGCTGTATGTTAGCTTCAGTTAAAAGGGATTTACTGATTTTGAAGCAAACAGTTGGAAGTGGTTAGGACCTTCATGTTTGTTTGTTTGTCTGCACTCATATTCCAGCTATTTGACGGTGGTCTGAAAATAATCGAGTCTAGATTAGACAATCTAGTCATTGGCATCATGAGCATAGATCCACACAATTGGGATACGATGATAAGCATCAACCAAGTCAGCAAGCCTGACCATGCCATTGTCATCTCTTCCACAGGCCCTTACCAGCTGAACAACTGCCCTCTTCGTCGCATCAACCAGATCTATGTGATCGCCACAAAGACCAAGTTGGACATCAAGGGTGTGAAGCTGCCCGACAGACTCAATGATGATTATTTCCGAAGATCTAAGCAGCGAAAGGCCAAGCAGACCGAGGGAGAAATATTTGACACTAAGAAAGAGGTGGGGATATGTTATGAAGTTCATTATACAAGCCTTCGTCCAAAGTATTGTTTTTGTAAAAATTGTGCTTTTAGTTTTCTGAATGTCACTTTGAATGGCGTTAAGCGAGTACATTTAAAGTCTGTAGAATGGTGTGCTATGTTTGTGTATTTGTAAAGAATTTTTAATGTGAAGTTAACAAGATATACAGCTTTATGATTGGGCATGATGTCGGTCACATGACCTCCAAATTGACGTTTATATGTGTATAAACGATACAATTTGACGTTCATACGTTTTTCACGAGACCATATTCTTGAAATGATGTGAACCCTGTGTATGAACGTTGTTGCAAGCTCCCACGTTCATACAGTTTGGCCCTCACACTCCGAAGGTTCATACTCCAATGAACTCACACAACGTGAAAGTCAATTCTTAGGTATACATGTGGACTATATATTTAAATCACATGAATTTGCTTAGTCTCTCAGACCCTGAAACAAAAATGATATTTTATATATATTAAAAGACAACTGAAGAAAGAAAACACTGTACTATTTTCAATCAGAGACTAAATGGTTTTGTCGTTGCTAAATGTTTCTCTCTTCTGGCACTCCAGAGGTACCAAGTGTCCGAGCAGCGCAAGGCTGACCAGAAGGAGGTGGACAAGCAGCTGCTGGACGTCATCAGGAAGAACTCTGAGAAGAAGCTCCTTTTTGGATACCTCGGCTCCATGTTCTCACTCCGCACCAAGGAGTTCCCACACAGGATGGCCTTCTAATTGTACAGACTTATTGGACACATTAAACTTGGGAACCCTAGTCAGGCTCTGTTGTCATGTCCAGGTCTCTCGATTTAGCCCCTCCAACCCCCCAACATGGTGTTTCCTGGTTGAAATAAAAACCCAGCAACTGATGCTTTGTCGTGAGAGGTGAATCTGGTTGTCAAACTCAGTGACTTGGTTGATTGTTTGTCATTGTAGGATGACAGCGTGGATCGCAGTCTCATTAAAATCTGTGGACAGTGGCACATTAGACAATCAGAAAGTAGCTTTGTCGAGCTTAACAGCACTGGCTCAAACTGGCGACGTCATTCCAGACTACTCATTAACAAATATTTTGACCAAGTTCTCTATTCAAATTTTGAAAACTAAACAAAAGAAAATTCTAGAATGTCCTCATAAATGGCCGAGGTTGTATGGCAGTATATCTCATGGGGGAGATAGAGGATGATATTGAAGCCCATAACTGTTCGACTACCTCGGTAACCTTTTCAAAGTTGCATAATTAGAAAACACATTCCGACTGTCACTTTATCAATCTAGGCGACTTTGCTTGTCATAAGAGGTGACTAACGGGATCGGGTGGTCAGGCTTGCTGACTTGGATGCGTGGATCAATGCTCATAAAGCCAATCACTGGATTATTTACAGACCGCCGTCCTATAGCTGGAATATTGCTGAGTGTGGCGTTAAACAACAGACAGTTAGGCACCCTCTGATTGGTTGGATGAAAGATCAGAACACTGACCCGTAATGGGATGTCCTCAGATCTTTGTTTAGCAGTAGTGAGAACTAAGATCTTATTTTTTTGAGATTGGCATGGATCTTTGCTGACAATATTATTATCCATTTATTTCCCTCACTAATCAAGGCAGTTAGATTTTGCTATACTTTAGTTGGAAATATCTCGCCAGCAATTATCCATGGAACCGTATGTATGGTGAGATGGACAACAGACTGAAGTCAAGGACCAACTTTGGGGGAGTGACACTATACGAGTATCTGGACCTGTTTTAATTACTTTCTCTGGAAGGAGCTAGACAAACATTTCTTCTGGCAACACATAATCAACATGTTATCAAGGTACAATTTAAAAAAAAAATAATTCACATTTTACATTGGCCACCCCTCAAATCTAGATAAGGTTTCCAGGTTTGTCAGCACCATACCAGTGCTAATGGGTTTCACCAACCAAAACTTCTGAGACCAGCATCACTTGGGGCTTTTCTCCACCATTAAGCTGACAGGCAGTGATAGTTATAATTGGCGTTAATCCCAACCAACTCACTCACCCCCCCCCCCCAGAATCTCAAGTCGCGACCCCTTAATGTCCAGTTCTTCATGCTATGATCACATCAGTGGGCATTGCAGCCCCCCCCCCCCCCCCCCCCCCCCCGCAACATATGGTTGTGAGAGGCGACCAAAAGGTTCGGGTGGTTAAGCCCCTATTACACAGGGCTGCGACCTTTGTGCCACCTTTGAGCGATCAAAAACTGGCCAGGACGCTCAATGGTCGCCTAAACACAGAAAATCATGTTTCTATGTAACTGCTCCAGCAGTTGTTCAGCAGTAACTGCTCGAGTTGTTCAACGTCAGCAAACACAATGAAACACTGCAGGTACAAGCCCTATATTTATAGGCAGGCTGAGGAGGCACTACAGGTAGCTCAAAGGAGGTAGAAAAGAGGCAGAAGCATTGCCATGGTTTCTCAAATGTGCCGAATGGAGGCACGGCAGTCGCCATACTCATAGTTCAATGCACGCTGTTGGTCTCCCAAAGAAGGCACAAGGGAGGCAGAAGCATCGCCCAGATGTACGGGACAGTATTTCAGCAGAACGCATCTATTACCTGGCGACCATTGGGCGACCACTGTGCCTTCATTCTGCAACAACGGCAATGCTTGTGCCTCCCTTCTGCCTCATTTGAGACACCTTTGAGCAACCAACCTCCTCGGCGACCTCTGTGCGACTGTTTTGAACATGTTCAAAACTTCACGGCGACAATGGCGTCCATGGCGATGTCTGAACCTCCTGTGTACCACCTTGGAACGACCTAGGCAACCATTCTGCCTCCTTTGAGCCTCCAACGACGACCTGGCAAATTCTATGGTCGCACACGGGAGGCTCAAAGGTCGCCATCCTGTGTAAAGGCCCCATAAGGCAGGGTGACTTGGCTCCTGGCGTGTCATGGTGCCCTAATGCCCTGGATCGTTGCTGGATTGTGTGGTTCAGACTCGATTATTTACATCATGTAGCTGGAATATTGCCGAGTGCGGGGTTAAACAACAAACGAAATAAACGTATTCGTCACAAAGTTGTGATCCAATAACCTGGACGATTTATCAAGTTTAAAGGGTTTAAATTAGCGTGCAATTCACCGAAGAACATGCCTGAATCAAAGCCGCCGTAACACTTGCTTATGGCCATAGGACAAAAAGAAACACGATCAGATGGTTAACATGACCGGGTAGTACAAGCTTTCATGGATAAACTGGGTGAAATTATACTTCGCCACAATACCATGTCTACCGTAAGTGGCCACATGATGCCAACTATTAATACATGGGGACCAGTGTTAAGTTTTCAGCTGTGTGTAAGTTAGTGGTACGTGGCCCCGTAGACGGCAGACGATCAGGCGAATTTGCTCAACCCTGGTCCCGAGAGTCGCGTATGCGTGATAGTGTTCGGCAGCTTGACTCCAGGGCTTCGGTCCTGCGCAACACTGAAACACGTTACCTATAGGGTCCCCAAAAGCAAGTATCTTTGGTCGGAAGATCGCTCCTTTCACTCAGCATAAATGGGTACCCGGTAGAAGATGGTAATGTGACAAACTTCAAGCGCCTCGTAGACAGCTCTGAATACCTCCCGGGGAGCTGAGAATGAAATTCGACAGGGCTAATACTGTAGCGCCATGCGCATTCACTTGGTGAAGGGAATCTGGCGCATTCTAAATCGATTTAATATATGTTATTATCAAGCTCTGAGTAGGGGAATTGTTTAAAGCAAACTCCCAGGAAAGTCTCAGAAGAGATTTTCATATTTCCTATACATAGTTTTAGTAGCAATCATAAAGTGATGTTACGTACAGGCATACGGCTTGTATATACTTGATGCATGTGTCAGTATCATAAATGGACACATTTAGAAAAAGACTCCGTCGCGGACGGTGTTGATGGAGGTTCCATCATTTGGAGAACATGTAAGAGGTCAGAAGCAATGGGTTTAATACTCGGGTAAAGGGTTGTTTGAAATACCTAATTTAAACTTGTTAGTGCGTCAATAGAGCTTTTTGAAGAGCAGTTTAAATTTGCACCATGTTGGCCGTCCGAAGTCATTTAATGGATCGGGTGGTCAGGCTCGGTAACTTGGTTGATTGCATGTCTCCATACAAGACGTGGGACGTATCTCATGTTCTCAAGACGAAGACCTCGTGAGTATGACTTGTGCTTTATCCATTTGACTTTTCACAATAAAATATGTTTCACTTAAAACAAACAGATATCAATCACTGGATTGTCTGGCCCAGACTCGATTATTCACAGGCCGCAGACCGTCATGCACATGATAGAATATAGCTGAGCGCGGCGTTAAAGAACAAAGAAATAAATATCAGTGTTTCTAATTTTATTAAAAGAGACTTCAAAAGGCACATAAAAACCCACACACACACCTGGTAGGCGCAGTTGACGTCATCTGCAGAACATATGGTTTTGGCAGTTTGATGTTTGTCATGTAACCCATAGTCGACAGGCTTGCAATGATGATGTATGTTGGAGGAAGGCAGATCCGACATACATTTCCCCCTGCACGTTTGTCGATAGGTGTACATGTGGTTGAGCCGAGTGCAAGAGGCATACTTTGAGGATGGGAAGCTGACTCACTGAGTAGGTTTGGCCACTTCTGTGTCACTGCCAATTTTCTGGGTGAGTGAGTAAGGTTTTTGGCCACTTTGAACTGAATTTCAGTCATATTACGGCATGTCTGCTTGTCCTAGACGTTTACCACTTCAGTGAGTAAGTATTGTGTTATGCCGCTTTAGCAATATTCCAGCGGCAGGGGGCACCTGTAATGGACTTCACACATTGTACCCATGTGGGGAAACGAACCCGGGACTTCGACGTGACGAGCGAACGCTTTAACCACTAGGCTACCCCACCGCCCCACCATCGAGCCCGGTTATGGTGCTGACAAACCTAGAAACATCAGGGGTCGTGAAGTGAACTAACTCACACTAAAGTTACAAGAGGCGAAGCTAATTTTAACGAAACAACACCAACCACTGGTTGATCAAGAGACGTGGGGTTCCGGGTCAGAATATAGGTCCCATAGTCGACTAAATGGATCTGGTGGTCAGGCTCGTAGTCTCTCTGAATGATACATGTGCCTGGATCCCTCTTGGTGTAGAAAGCTTTCCTCTGCTGGTATAAAAAGTCTCTCATCATCATTTGCATAATGATTGCCTGTCAGTTCTTTCTTCCAGTTTTGGTAGTGGTGTCCATCTATATGCTTGTAAACGATTCCTTGGCGTAAAAAACTCTACATCGAGTATTATGGTATATGGTGAATGTGGACGTGTACCACTTTACATATTTCAACATATTAGAATTCTCAAGTATTGGTTCAAGATTCTTAAAATGTGTATTGATAGATTACCTAGAAAATGTTACAATATGATGTTATTGTATGAAAAACACGGAAGCCGCAATTGGGTATATGATGTAAAGTCGTTATTAAATGATTGCGGCTATGGGTATGTTTGGCGTAATCAATGTGTACCAAACAATCCAGATTCATTTTTAGTATCTTTACGCCAAAGACTTAAGGATATTTACTTGCAAAAATGGGCATCGCATGTTTTAAGTTCAGAAAAATGCAATTATTACAAGCTTTTCAAGACAACAATTTCCCCAGAATACTATTTGTTTGACATCAACTTTAAAAGGTTTAGAATAAGTTTAGCACAATTTAGATGCAGCTCTCATAGACTTAGGATCGAAGTAGGCAGGCATAGAAACATAGACAGAGAATTGAGAATATGTGAG